ACAGTGTCAACAAACGCATGCACTCTTGATACGAAGAACACGCTTCATAGGCTTGCTTGAAGTTCTTGAACCACTGGGCACACGCACTACATCTTAGATGTGATGGTTGAAAGTGGCGGTTACACACGTTACGGTGGCATTTTACGGTTACTGTAGGATAGCTGCTAAGTTGTCTTGGCTCTGCACGAACTTTGCTATTTTGCGCATGCAGCTTCTCCAGTCGCATATGTGACAATGCTTGAGGCGTGTTTACGCACCGCTCTTGACTTCAGCCTTTTTCTTCCTCCGGCAAAAACTCATGAGCTGTTTCAGCTGAGAAGCCATTCGACGAAGACAGCATATCTCTGAGGCGTCTGAAGCAGTTCTGGCAGACGTGGTAGTTGTTATGTGCATGGCGGGCAGCTTTCGGCGAAAGCTTCTGGAAGGCAAACAGGCCGATGTCTTCGACCTTGCGGAAGTTTCTTTGATAAGGTATTTTCTTTTTATGCAACATGAGGTAATCTGAACAAAAAACTCTATCCGAGCTGAAGTGGTCAGCTATCGCCACGCTCCTTGAGGGTCAAATTACTGGCAACGCAACTATGCGTGAAACCAGCAGCACGAAAGTGATCTATCTGTCGTCTGTTTCTATGTCTCTCACCTTCAATGAGAGCAGACGTAAAACAGCGTGCGCAAGTATCCACAGTGCGAATGCAAAACTGAAGTATAGTACGTTAAAATGAATTTCACAATGTTTCTGTCGATAAAATTACGGGAGGCGTAATCTTTGTCCCTACTTTGAACCATATGATCTAAAGCATTGCCTCCGAGATGCAGCGCACAGCAATTCATCTGTAGAGCAGACGACGGATGACAACTTGCCCTGAAGCGTGTTCTTCAGTCTAGTGCGGCAGTCTTCGTGCCCCAAAAGATAAAAATTTGTTATGAACCGTTTATCGTTACTCATTCAACATTCAATTCTCTTACCTAACGTGTTATCGATTCTCTTACCCTACGGGAATATTGAACTCCCTTTACTGCCGTTTTAACTCGGGGGAAAAATTGCTTCTCGTCGCATGTAATATGTGAATCTCTTCCAATTTACTGTTTTTTGCGTTTCTTTTCTCTTTGTTTTCTTGAGTGATTCGTGATCTGTGAGAATATCGGAAGTGCTGTCTGTTACATCCTGTATATGTTCTCTTGTTTGTACACGCCACTGAAGTGATTTTGTTACACCAGACAGTTGTACACGCCTGAAATGTTGTTTCAAGTTTTCAATAAACTTCCCTGTTTCGCCCTTTACTTGTTTTTGATGTTTCGTTTGTGTACGTACAAGTTAAGTGTACAATAAACTTCCCTTTTTCGCCCCTAAAATCACAGCATATCCATGGAGTGAATGAGGACGGGTAAGGCGAAACGTCCGTCATTCTGTCCGTGCTTCCAGTCGTCCATTCGTTCTTGCTTCCGTCCATCCGTGTGTCCATCCGTTCATCCGTGCGTCCGTCCATGCATTCATCCGTCCCTCCGTCCGTGCATCCGTCCGTCCGTCCATTCGTGCGTCCATCCCTGCGTTCGTCTATGCGTCCGCCCGTCTGTCCATCCGTCTGGGCGTCCGCCCGCTCGCCAAACAGACAGACAGACGAAGAACGGACGCGGCCAGTGGATGAATCACGGTCTGCTGATAAAAAGTATGATACGCACAACGCGGCGGCGAATCGCTCTCGAAGATGGAACCCCGATGTGTGAGCATGTGAGAAAATAGGAATGACGTCACACAAAGACGTTGGCGATTGCCTGTCCGTCGGCAGCACCATACGCTAGGGGGTGCGGTGTAGTAATATAAAAGCCGTTATGGCGCGCGCGCACGTTCTGAAGGTCGGCGGATGGACAAGGCTGCAGAGCGGCGGTCGCGCAATGCGGCGGTGGCTCGCGCTCGAAGACGAAACCCCGATATGAAAGCGCGCGAGGCAGACGCGTGCAATGAAGCTGCGTGGCAGCGCCGACAAAATGCAGGCGTACAAGAACGGGAGGCGGAAGAGGTGTGGCCGTGGAGTGTGGACCCAGCTTCTCTCCACTCTCCATAATTCACTACGTGGATATTTTGCCATTTTTAGGGGCGGAGCTCCTTATAGCGGCACCCGTTCGTCCCTCGTAGCTGTTGTAGTAGTGCGTAACATGTATACCATTTTGACCTTCGAGGTGGTACCGGTGAGAGATTTATTCTGTGCGTTGTTGAACAATAAAAAATAGTGCTCAACGTACGTGTCAATGGCTGCTAAGGGGGAATGAGAGACAGGAGAATTTGGCTTTTAGTTAAAGCGCACATTGCGAATTTTCTATTGTTTAACAACGCACAGAAGACAAGAAAGGGTTGCTACGTTATACACTCTGGGCGTAACCTCCTAGGTTTTAGAAAGGTTTAGGGAGCGTTGGGCCGCTGTGCCATGAATACAGTGAACTAGTATATACCATTAACTCGAGGTGGTTAAAGGTGGGAAGTAGACACGAAGCACAAGCTCTAAGAAAGTGTGCGCGTGCATCCTCTCGTTCAGTCCTTGGAATTACCGCTAAATGGTGGTGCTTCTGTATGAGGAATATATGATGAAAAGATGCGAGATGGTGGTACTTGGAGTGTTGAATAGGTGGACGAATGGACACACAGACAGATGCATGGGCGGACGCACGGTTGCCTGCACGGACGGATGGACGCATGGGCGGACGCAGGAGCAGATGCATGGACGAAAGCAGGGACGGACGCACAGATGAACGTGCGTACGCACGAACAGACGCATGCACGGACGGGCGTATGGACGCATGGGCGGACACACAGACGCACGCATGGATGGACAGAAGCAAGAACGAATGGACGGACGGATGCTTCGCCCCACTAACCCTCATTCATTCCGTGCATGGATATGCTGCCATTTTTTTACTCCCCATGCATCAACACTATACATGTGCAATTGTTTGATTTCTTTGGATATTCGAAGGAATATTAGATTATGACAATTCGCTAAGACAGGAATTTAAATTATTTAAAAGTTTGAAGTATTCGAAATCAACGAAGAGGCGTATGCCTGATTGCGTATGGCGCCCCCTGCTATCCGCAAAAGTGGTTATTCTGCATCTTAGAAATTATATGCCAAGAAAACACCTATAAAACAAGACCCACACAGCCGCAAGGTCCTCTTAATGGTCAAATGAGGATACTACCCTAAACTTCCTGTTATAATTCAGTAGTAGTAGTAATAGACTTTTATTCAGCCAAATTTACTGGCCGAGCATTTCGACCGCCTGTGCGATCAGTCGACGCTGTTCTTCTTCCTCTTCAGCGCCGATCCAGTTGAGCGAGGAGGTGATGGAAAGGGATGGGGGAGGGTAATAGCTGGATTGCTGAGCGTTTGGGCAGTAAAACAGGCAGTGTGACAGGTCAGCGTATGGGGAGGGACAATTAGGACAGCAGGGGTTAGACCTATATTTATAAAGGGAAAGGCGAGAGGGGGTTATCAAGCAGTTCATTTGGATGTGCCGTAGAGTTCGAGCCTCGAGCGCAGTGAGTGATGGATGAGAGGGAGGGTAAAGACGCTTGTCGAGCAGGAGCTGGAGATATACCTCCTTGATTGTGTGACGCAAGGAGATCTGCCCATCGTTATTCGCGGAGCTCTCACTGTCTTCCGAAGGTGTGGGCCAGAGAATGAACGGTGCCTGGTACAATATATCGCGGGCAAGCTGATGAGCTAGCTCATTGCCGTTAATACCCGAATGCCCAGGAACCCAGCGGAGGAAGACAGTGGAGGGTTGAAGAGCAGAGGCCGCTCGCTCGACCTCCTGCTGAAGAGCAGGGGGCAACGTGTTGTTCTGTATGTGACGGATGGCGGCGTGAGAGTCGGAGTAAATCGTGTACTCGGGGAGAGATGGGAGGGAAAAAATGACTTCATGGCGTGGACCATGGAAAGGCCCTCGAGCGGAGGTACATTTGGCGGGTGTAATTATGGCCCGCTGGTGTGCGTGTCAGGTGCCGAAAGGTGTGGATGGTAAATAACGTAGCCACACGAGCCCCGAGGAGCCATGTATGAGGCATCCGTGTAGGCAACTCCCTGTGTAGAGAGAGAAGGAGAATGATGCTGTGCTGTCGCATGACGCCGGCCGGCGTGAAGAACGGGAGACATATTGGATGGGAGGGGAAGGATGCGAAGGTTAGAAGCAGTGGTGCTAGCGGCAGAAGGCAAGGTGGGAACGGAAACGGGAATGTGAGGGATACCGGCTTGGGCTAATAGCCATTGGCCTTGACGAGTGAGAGAAAGACGGGAAATCTGAGAGTCGCGGTGCAGAGAAATAAGAGAACGTAATGGATGGAAGAGGCCTGTGGCAAAGAGCTTAGTGGTAGAAGTAGTGAGAGGGAGGTTTAGAGCTGCCTTGTAGAGGCCTAATAGAGCTCTTTCGAGTGTGTTGAGTTGCGTTTCGGTGAAATGAACGTAGGGTACAAAGTACAAAAACTTGTTAAGGGCAAGCGCATGTGCAACCCGGAACGCATGAGCCTCGTGGAGCCCCGATTGCCGAGTGACAACGCGTCGCAGGAGGTGGGTCACCGAGTGGCAAGTCCTCACAGCGTGATTTAGGGCCTGCGCGTTCTTTGTCGCGTGCAAAGGGAAGCCAAGAATGTTATAATTGAATGTTATAATTGTCCTGTTATAATTCAATGTTATAATTGTCCTGTTAAAAAGTCCTGTTATAATTCAATGTAGACTACACTTCGCACAAAAAGAATGCCGTTTACGCATGCGTTTTTTTTCAACGAAAAAAAAAGTTTTGCAAGCTATCCGGGTCATGAAAAATGTCTTCATATTTCTTTTGCGATATGTGATTATCACTGTTCGAACTGTCCGCTTCAGAATGACCGGACCAACTACTTTTCACTTTGTATTCGCTTCTAACCTTCAATTCATTGTTGTTCGATTCCTAATTAGCACCACAAAAAGACCAATTTTGGTACTTACACAAACTAAATCTGTTTTTTAAAGGGGAGGCAGAACTTCCAAGCCAATGCAACCCAGAAACTGGTACTACTATCCAACGTGAGTATGCTCAGCATGGTTTCCCACTGGGGTGGTGTAGTCTATCGAATGGTCTACGATTGCAGAGCTTTTTGTAGGTGTTTAAAAAAAGTTCTTGTTTTACATTTTACAAAACTGTCCGACAACGTAAACTTTTTCACAATGACCTCGGCTCCCTGACAGACAGCATTATATGGATATAAAAGTTACGCACTTGCAGGCGTCAGAAACGGTGTTATGCACAACACAAATCACATGAAGTTAATTATTTACGGTTCATTTTTTAATGAATCAAACACATCGCGATTAGACGTTTGTCAATGCTGTTTTAAGAGTTGAATGTAACTCAAGATTTAATTTTTGTTTGCCATTGCTAGTACGTATCTCGAGGACATAGATAATTCGCTTTCAAAAGTATACTTTGAGCGGGTGATAGATTATTTTCATTGTGTTTCTGCAAAGAAAATGGTGAACCTGATCAGCCTTCAACGAGCCATTCCTGCTCCCTTTCGAAGCAAAAGTCGTTTGAGATAGTCAGTAGTGGTCTTGATTTTCATACCTCAATGCAGCAAACTACCTTAGGGTACAAAAAGTGTAATAAGGCGGCTATCTTAACCACATAAGTGCTAGCTTAACTTTCTTATATAAGCATCTCACACCCTTACTTAAGTCACATATTACTTGAGATATATGGGGATTCCAGAAAATCTTCAGATAGAATGACCAACCAAAACACTGAAAGCATATCAACCTCATTTACTGCTGTATTTCCATACTGAATTTAATTTTGACATAAGTCGGCAGAAAGAATGAGGCTAGGGCAATATATTTTTTAAAATTCGAAGCATTTCTTAGCAAACTTCGGCGACTTTGAGCGTATCTATCTATCTAGCCGCCTGCAACGTTTAGCTCTCCTGGCCGTTTCGATATTGGTATCGATACCAAACTTGGTATGGCATAACATGACTCTATATGAAGAACATATTTGACTAGTCATAACATAAAAATCATGATATGTATGTCATGAATGTTATGATTTAGATTTCATGGTCCGGCAGCTCTTGCTGTGGTTTCGTTCACATGGCATGCTGCAAAACTGGTATGGTATGACATGATTGCATGGCGAACACAAACGACCAACCCTGACATGAAAATAAGGATGCGTGTCATGTAACAACATGCCTACATGCCACTTTCATGATGTGCTCGCGGCCACTTAGTTAGCGGAACATATCCCAAATTTGGTATTACAATATGTGAATTGATGACGAAGGTATGTGACCGGTGGAAACGTGATAATCATGAGATGCGTGTCATGTAACAGCATGACTACATGCCACGCTCATAATGCGCTGGTGGTTGCTTCGCTAGCTTCACTTATACCAAATTTGGTATTACGGGACATGATTGGATGACGAAGGTATGGTACTGGTGCAAACATGATAAACATCACATGCGTGTAATTTAACATGACTACATGCTACACTCACGAGGCGCTCGTGGCCATTTCGCTAGCTTCACATGTACCAAACTTGGTATTACGCGACGCGAACGGATGACATAGGTAAATGCCACATCTAAGCATGATAATCATGACATGCATGTCATGTAACTACATGACTACATGCCACACTCATGATGCACTCGCGGCAGTTTCGCTACCTTCAGATATGCCAAAATTTGTATTACATGACGTCGATGGATCACGAAGGTATGTGAATGGTGTAAACATGATAATCATGAGATGCTACGATGTGAGAACATGACTACATACCACAGTCAAGGTGCCAAGAGATTTCGACGTGATGCGGTGCGCGTGCTCACCGCCGTTCATTTCGTCGCATCACGCCGGAATTACCACGCCAGGCGCCGGTCTTGCTTATACTCGCAGGCGCGCGCCGCGCTGAGTTGCTTTGATGCATGCGTGTTTCAGCGCGTCCGGCGTCTTTCCGTCACAAAAATATGGAAACGCAGTGTTGTCTGGGTAATGCATCGGCGCGAAATGCAGCATGTTGCATTTCGCGCCGGTTGCCGTCGGGCCGCACCGTAGGAAGCTGGTCGCGCCGGCCGCGCCTGACGTCAGACTACAGAGTGCTCGCGTTTTGCTAATGTAGTGTCGCTGTGCCCAGCGTGCACGCACGTCAACGCTACATTGGAGTATATTGGGCCCTTCATAATGCGCTCGCGGCTGTTTTGCTAGCTCCGCATATAGCAAATTTGGTGTTACGGGACGTCAATGGAGGGCGAAAGTATATGACTGGTGCAGACATGATAATGCTGACAAGCGTGTCATTTCAGAAAATTACAACATACCACACTCATAGCATGCTCGCGGCCGTTTCGCTAGCTCTACATATACTAAATTTGGTATCACGTGACGTGAATAGGTGACAAAGGTATACGAAACATCCAAACATGATAAACGTGAGACGTAAGTGATATACGGCATAATTTACCTCCGCCTTGTAACATTTTACTGATTTTAGAGTGACACATCAACCTTCCTCATTCGTGCTTCACATATCATCGATTACTACTGTACGTGGGATCTGCCTGTTTTTTTTTCTGGATAAAGGAAACAACGCTGTTGTGGTGTAGTCAGAACTGTAAGTTGTCTAAGTAAATTTTTACTATAGACTCCAGCGCACCTCACGCGGCCTGAGGATACCCAGAAGAAACACTCGAGGGCAGGCTCCTGTGGGAGGACAGGGCAGACCAGCGACTGGAACTCGTTGCGAACTCTGCCGATCCCACGTGCAGGAGCAACCCCGCATGCTCTGACACACTACCAGACCTTGCATTCGTGGCTAACGTAGCCAACGCGCAGTGGACAACATGCAAAAGGATATCTGAAGCGATCATTCCTTAACAAAGATTAAAATAGACACGGGACTGCGGGCTAGTGGGGTCACTTCGAAAGTGAAGGCGAGGCCAGAGGAAACAGGCTCCGTCTCGTGGAATGGGATGCATTCCGTAAAACACGCAAAGAGCCTGAGCGAGGCGACAAAGCGATAACGAACATTAAAGAATGGGCCAAGACGCTCAGGGCAGACGTGAGGCAGCAACGCACGAGTTCCCTCCTGAGGCAAACGTTCACGCGATAGACAGCAGGCTCCTGCACAAGTGGGAGGCCAAGCCCTGTTTGCTGAAAAGATGGAAACGTCAAAGGCAAAACAGGGCGTTACGCAGGCGCATAGCCAAACTGGACAGTGAGACAGAAGAACACGCTTTTCAGGTATGCCGCACACAATGGGAAGAGACGTGCAATGGCTTCGAGAGACAGATGCGTGGTGCGAACGCTTGGCACCTCCTCTGGCACCTTCTGGATCCGGAGGAGACCAAGACCGCCCAGGGGCGCAAGATTCGCAGGCTCGTGCGTGGCTTTGGGGGCATGCCAAATGAATTTATGAATTTCTTGAGGTCCTGCGCAAGTGCTCTTTTAGAACACGTGAAAGAATGCAGCACACAATGTACGACGGAGACGACAACGAGAAGCTATAGACGCGGAGTTCGGTGAAGCTGAAATCAGAAGTCTTAAGCAATCTCAAAACCAGGTCTGCCACCGGCCTGGACCGGGTGACCAACAAGATTCTACGCAACCTGGACGATGAGCCAATTACGCGACTGACGGCTACGTTAGTGACTGCAGGAGGGAGGGCTCCGTCCCCAATGCGTGGAATAGGACCCGCGTGGTCATGGTTCCCAATCCGGGCAAGCAGGTGACGATCGATAACCTAAGGCCAATCTCAATACATCCTGCATGAGCAAAGTCATAGAACACGCTCCTGAGTCGCGGGACTGATTACCTCGAAGACGTCGTCTTCGAGGTAATCAAGTCGAGACGACACAACTCGTCTCTTGCACCGCATAACGAACAGACCGAGCGGTATGCGGGAAAGCTGCGCCAGCTACCTCGAACAGGCGTACGTGATCAGTCGAATTGAACATGTTATTGCAAGAGCCCTCAATAAGTTTATTGACGACAAAAAAAAATTCTGACCAGCTCGCAACATGGTTTTAGAAGGGGATATTCTACAGTCGCACAACTATAGTCACTGTCATTAATACTTTTGTTTCTGGTATTGGTAATAGAAATAAATCGATTTAATTTTTTTGCATTTCAGCAAAGGTTTCAATTAGCTAACTCATTACAAACTAATATTTAAGCTAAGAAGACATGACATTCCTGAATTTTCTGTTTCTTGGATAGCTGAATACCTAAAAATAACGAGGAGTTCGTAGATATAGGTGGGCACCACTCGTCTTGTCTGCCAGTCATTTCTGGAGCACTGCAAGGAAGTGTATTGGGTCCTTTGTTGTTCCTCCTGTACGTGAATGATAGTGTTGATGCTGTTAAACTAAATGTCCGAATAAGGCTATTCGCCGATGCTTGTGTATTGTTTAAGGAAGTCACCCGCGTTAGGGACCAAGATGACTTAATCGTAAGCCTCAGTCGCATTTTCCAATGATGCTCCCATTGGGTAATGACCTTGAATGTAGAAAAAAGTGTTCTTTTACTGATTTCCCGAAAGAAAACATTCCTCTAATAGAACTATATGCTGGGCTCCTCTTCATCTAGAGAAGTCATTAACTACGAATATTTAGGTGTCACAATTTGCAATAGCCTTTCCTGGAACTTTCACGTTCAAAACATGCCTTCAGAGAACTATGCTTTCTTAAATACGAACTTAAACATGTTCCCGTCTCTGTTAAATTTCTTGCGTGTTATTACTTAATTCGACTGAAGCTCGAGTACGCCTGCATTGTATGAGACCCCTACACACATTGTCGACAATCCGATTTGTTTACAGTAGGTTTGGTACCTTCGACTCACCAAAAGAACTGACGCAGTCGAATGAAATCCCAAATTTGAATCGCATGAAAAAAAAAAAACTGCGGCTTGGCTTTCTGTCACAGCAGCTTAGTTATAAACCGGCACTCGATCAGGCAGCATGTTTGAGTCCACTAATGACGAGTCCTACTCGCCAACATCACCCAAATGCCCTAACCTCTTATTTCAC